ATTCACAAGCGAACAGCGGTCATTGTACCTGCTGACTTAACAATTAGGTAACGGCAATAATATAATAATATAATATTAGCTAACTAATCAATTTGCACCATCAGATGCCATATTTACCCTATTACACCTCCCCCCAATAAATAAAAGAATTTTCTTTCTATTGAATGAAAATTCTTCTTCTTATCAGAAAGTAGGTAAAATGTTAAAATGTGTAATACAGCAATAAAATACAACCAATAAAAAAAAAATTAAAAAAATAGCTATTTATACAATAAGTTACGAAATGAGCGTCTTTTAGGCACGCGACGTGAAAATTGTCCAACGAGGCAAAGCCGAGTTGGACAACACGTCGAGTGACTAAAAGACATCGTTTCGTAACGTATTGTATACAAGATTTTTTCTACTGGCATTTTATAATAAAAAAAACACAATTTTATTTCATGTGAATAAGTCGATTACACCCAAAATCTTTGTCACCTGCTTTCACTTGACACCTGACACTTTTCATGCGATTTTCTTTTCAAAATTCGGCATCAATAATTAAAATCCTAGAAAGTAGGTAATAACACAAAGTTCTGTTTTGAGTAACCCAAACGTTCAATTCAGTAATTCCATTTTCAATATTCATAATAAATACAAAACAAAATTCAAATATGTGGTTAGTGTTGTTTTTTATTTCTGAATAATGAATGACACTTTTAGGCACTAGTGCTTAAAAATTACTTTTACGCACTCATAAGTCACTTTTACGCATTCAAAAGTCACTTTTACGCACTGAGTGCCTAAAAGTAACTTTCACGCACTCAGTGCCTAAAAGAATGTCGTTTCAAAACTGAAATGACAATCGAAAAGTTGCTATTATGAAACGTCAGTAGAAAAAAAAAATTTTACCTTGTTTTTTTCCCAATTAATTAAAAATAATTATTTTCTAGAATCCTTCTTGAAACTTAATGAAATTAAAAAAAAAATACACCTAATAAGCATACAATACTGGTACTAGGGGCCCCATAATAAAATACCTAACAATTACATAATATTTCCTAACTCTTAACTACACAATATAGATTTTTGTCCTGTTCTTATGAACGATAAGTTCTTTATTATTTTTCACAATTTTTACATTAGGGGACAAATCCTCTAATACTAAATATGGTCCCAAAAAACAGGGACTGGAGATCTTATCTCCCGTCTCATTTTTAACTAAGACCATATCTCCTTTTTTGTAAGAAATAGGGTTTGAAGTTTTATCATAATTTTGTTTTCGCTTCAATTTGGAATGAATTAAATTTTTTCTTGCATCATCGTTTGCCTTTTGTAATCTGTATTTCAGCTCTAAAGGGTAGTTGTCAAAAATATTTATAGGATCGATGGTATTGGTTAAGTTACTTGGAATGTGACATTTTCGTCCGAAAACTAGCTCAAACGGAGTATATCGAGTTTCTGAGTGCACTGTGGTATTGTAAGAAAAACTCCAATATGGAATCCACTCGCTCCAAGCAGCATTGTTATCAGATACTTGGGTTCGGAGGAATGCTCCTAAGACTTTATGTGAATTTTCCAGTGCGCCTATACTTTCGTGATGATAGGCAGTTGATTGAAGATGATTTATTTTCAAGATTTTCGCAATTTCGGCCATAGTAGAAGAGATAAATTCGGTACCCCTATCAGTAGCTATTTCTGAGGGAATTCCGTATCTCAAAATAAAGTTATCCACGAAACTTTTCGCAACAGTTAATGCATATTTGGTTTTCAATGGATATGCTTCAATGAATTTTGTTAATTCGCACTGAAGAGTTAGTATATAAGAAAATTCATTAATATCCATTGGCAGAGGTCCTACCAAATCTAAATATACCTTTTGAAATGCAAAATTAGCTGTACTTGTAATTACCATGGGTTCTTTAATGTAATGATTTGTATGTTTAATTTTTTGGCAACTGTCGCATCTTTTTACAAATTTTTGAACGTCTTTATACATTCCTGACCAATAATAGTACTTTTTAATATTATTCACCATTCGATTAATTCCCGCGTGTCCACTAGTGGGCAGTAAATGAAAATCATTTAATATTATTCGCTTTTCGTCCTTGTCAACAATTCTTTTCACATCGCTAATAACATATATACGGGGACCGGTCCAATTATCATCTTTTATTTCTTTCAATATCCATTCAATAATGTCTTTATTATTTTTATCTTTTAACATAACTAATTCGCGAATTTTTAATCGATTGCTTAGAATAATCAAATCTCTCAACATTCCGTCTCGCGTCAATGTTGATCGAGCATTTTGATTAAAATAAATAGCAGCATGCAAAGGAACAAAATGGAAATCTCCCAAACTTGCGGACACGATATTTTTAAGTCGACTTATTACTTTTTCTGAGGCTGGCATTAATTCGATACTATTTTCAGGTTTTTTTCAGTACTTCTACAATATCTGGTTGATCAGGCCAAACATTTGTAGTTTCCTCTGCTGCCTGTATATTAGCATTGGAATTGCGTGCACACTGGGCCCTAGTCAATACGGCAATTACTTTATCATTCATACTTTTTAAATCATTAGACGTTAAGGTGACTCTAGATAGAGCGTCAGCCGTCACATTTTCAGATCCCCTAACATACTCAATATAAAAGTCATATTCTTCTAAGCCTAACCTAAACTTTGTTAACCGACTTGAAGGTTCAGTCATATTAAATAGGTATTTTAAAGGTCTATGGTCAGTCAAAATTTTAAAACGTCGCCCAAATAAATAAGGTCTGAAATACTTTATCGCCCAGTAAATAGCTAAAAGTTCTTTCTCTATTGACGGATAATTAACTTCCGCTTTATTCAAACTTCTACTTGCATATGCAACTGGTTTTTCATTGATATTTGATAAGGTAGCTCCGATGGTAATATTAGAAGCATCAGTTCGAAGAATGAATTCGCTTTTATCTGAAAAGTCTGGGTAGTCTAGAACTGGAGGATTAATAAGAGCATTCTTGAGAAATAAAAATGATTTTTCGCATTCATGAGTCCATTCAAAAATAGCATATTTTTTACAAAGTTTATTTAATGGTACAGTTTTTTCTGCAAAATTTGGAATAAATTTTCTGTAGTAGTTTGCGAAAGCTACAAATCTCTTTAATTCATTTGCATTTGTTGGCCTGGGATAATTTTGAAGAGCTTTAACTTTACTATTGTCGGGCAAAATTCCATTTTCTGAAATAACATGTCCAAGGTAAAGGATTTGTTTTTTCAAAAATTCACATTTTGAGGGATTTAATTTTAAATTGACTTCACGAAGCCTGTTGAAAACAGCAATTAAATTTTTATTATGGTCTACGAGATTTCTTCCAAAAACTATTAAGTCGTCGAGATAAACAAAACATTTTTCGTAATTTAGTCCCGACATAGCAACTGTCATAAGCCTCGAGAATGCGCTTGGACTAATTTTCAATCCCATTGGCAACCTTCTCATTTGCCATTGGCCCCGATCAGTAGTAAATGCTGTGTACTTTCTACTTTCTTCAGTTAGCTCTACCTGATAATATCCCTGACTAAGATCCAAATGTGAGAAATATATAGCTCCTGCAAGGGAATCAAAAATATCGGTAATATTTGGAAGTGGAAATTTTTGGTCGCGAATTTGTTGATTAACTAATCTATAATCTACAACTAATCTTGTTGAATCCTCAGTCAAACCTTTTTTTGGGACTAACAGAACCGGAGAAGACCATCCACTCTGTGCTCTTTCAATGATGTCATCCTCATACATTTTCGAGACTTTCTTATGTATCTCATATTTTTGCGAAAAAGGCAATCTGTATGGTTTTACATAGGAGGGTGTAGCGTTTTTTTTTAACTGAATTGATTCTTTATAGATATTAGTGACAGTTAACTTATCGTCTAGCATGTGAAAAATATCTGCATATATAGCACAAATATTTTCGATTGAATTTTGCTCTTTCTGGTCTAAATAGTTCAATTTTAGTAGTTCAAATAATGTTTTCACACGAGCCACCGATATGTCCGACTTTGAAAATTGATAGAATTCATAACAGCTTAACCTTTTTGTTTTAGGGATACAATTTTTCAAGCAAACATCAGTTTCCCGAGTATTTAAAATTTTTACTGGTATTTTTCCTTGTTCAGGTCTTACAATCATACCTGCTATAAAAACACCTTGGCATAATTCGCTTGGTATAACCACACAATCCTCTGTTATACCAACCGAAACATGACAAATTGTTTCACATCTTGGAGATAACATTAACACATTATCATTGCTATTAGAGTTAAAAGGTAAAATTATAGTATCTTCAAAATTTGTTAAAGATAATGTATTTTCTTCGTAGTTTAGGATACCATTATATTTTCTTAAAAAATTCTCGCCAATTATTGCATCGCTAGAACAAGTAAGTGACGTAAAAACGTAAAATTTTTCTTCAAAAGATATATTTCCAACTTTCAATTTTAGATAAACATAACCTGGTGAGGTTATAGTTCCTCCGACTCCTTTTATTTCTACATTGTCATTATACACTCGTGAATTTGAATTTAAAACATTTGATTTTATTGCGCACAATGAAGCTCCTGTGTCGACCAAAAATTTTACGTTTTTATTAAAGATAATGAAATTGACGGTGTTTGTAAAATTATCCGAATACGTAAATATTTCATTTCTATTTTTCCTGTTAGGGACGAAAAAAATTATTCTCCATAGAAGTCATAGGTATTAGGTTATTCGCCCTCGACGTGCTAGCTTGCAAGTTTTCATCCTGACCATTACCTAAGTTACTCTCAATAACATTTATGTTATGTCGCCTATCTGACCCAGAAAAACGATTAGTACGGGTTCCGCGATTGTTGAACCCGCCACGAGAATTTCTTTGAAAACGTTGACTGTGTTGAAAATTCCCATTATTATTATTCCTATTTGCATTATTAAAATTTATATTAGGGCGGTTTGCAAAATTTGTATTTCTATTGGAATAGTTATTATTCGAATAAGAACCTCTATTTTGAGAAGAACCTCTCATAGAGTTCCTCATAAATCTTCCTTGACCTCTCCTAGAAGCGGTATAAATTTGAGGGTTACTATTAAAAAATGTTGTTTCCTCATCTTGGGCTGCTCTAATCGCGTCTTTTAAATAGGAAAAATTTCGCGAAGCCATTATCGTACTCAGTCTCTGATTGCGAAGGCCATCCGTAAATTGTTTCAAAGCTAACCTTTCGTTTATTGGTTTCAATACGTTGTAAGCATTTTCATCTTCTTTTGCCTGAGATATTGTTAAATTAACGAATAGCTCCTTTAAATCTTTTCCAAAACTTTCAATAGATTTATCGCCTTGTTTAGAACGAAATAACTTCAATTGCAAAGCACTATCAGATTTAATAGTTAAAAAGTGCTTTTTAATGTCACCCAATAGATCATTTACTGAGTTATAACTAGTACTAAGTCTCAACTTTGCACTGTTTCACAACCTAGTTTTCAGAACAAATTTAATTAATAAAGGTTTACCTTCATTATTAAGCATAGAATCGTAAAGTTCTATTGCGTCGATAAGTTTTTGCGTAGTATTCTCGGAATCATCCATAATTGGTAACAAACTAACAGCAACTTTAAGATCAAATGAAGCCATTTCTGCTGCTTCGGTTTGCTTATCTTTAAAATTTAGAATCTCGTCATAAAGTTTATTAATTTTTACTAGTAATTCGTTAACTAAGCGGATTTCAGAGTCATCAAGTTCAGAGTTGTCTATTTTTTGATTAATCGAGGATACTTCTCTTTTTACTTCCAAGTAAATGGCTTTTGCCTCATTGAGTTTTTGGTCAAAAATTGGAGTTTTGCGCCGTTCGTAATTTAATTTAACAATATAACTTCTTATTTTTTGCAAGGAAACATAACTTTTATCTAAAACACTATCGCCCATTTAATAAACAAGTCAAAAAAAAAGAAAATCAACTTTCCAAAAAAAAAGATTTACGCGCATACCTGTTTTAAGGGTCCATATTTTCCTTACTGGCTATCAATTATCAATAATAATACACAAAAATGTCAATCTTACAACACTAAAATATAAAATTACTTACATGGTTTCAATTATAACTTTTAAGTACTTAATAATAGCTTTTTTTTTTCTCATAAAGTCTTAATTCAATGGAAATACTTCTTTGTTCCTACACTATTGCCAACGTATCATGTATCTGTATTATTTTTTGACTCTTGCATGTCTCATATCCTAAAAAAAAACCTAAAAAAGAAACTACTGCTCCTGGACATCATCGACTCGATTGTTTTGTGATCGTCTTAACTCATGCTTGATAATCTCCCTTCTAATAATTCTTGTTTTTTCCTTATATGTTTTGACGAGAAAATGGAGCACTGCTAATAAAACAACGGCCACTATAACTATAAGTAGCGCCTCTGTAAGTGAAATTCCTTGGCTATCTTGACTTCTAGTGGTGGCATCGCCAGATCCAGATTGCGCTATTACCACTTTTTCCTCAATTTTGGACTGCTGCTTTCCCATTTTCTCCCAATTATATCTTACTTTTAGAATTTTTCACCAACATCAAGGCCTCTGGCAGGATCGCCATGTAATAACTCGAGACGATTTGGGGTTCTTAGGCCTTCAGTAAAACTACTACGTTGGTTTACTTCATAATGTATATTAATATCATAATGCATATTCACAAGCGAACAGCGGTCATTGTACCTGCTGACTTAACAATTAGGTAACGGCAATAATATAATAATATAATATTAGCTAACTAATCAATTTGCACCATCAGATGCCATACAGGGTGTATTTACCCTATACATATCCGTGTGAACCAAGTGTATTCAAATAACTTTCAGAAACGTCGCCCATATATTTTATATTAATGTTTATGTTACCCAAAATTGCATGAAAATATGTATTTTCGCAATTTCTCAAATACGAGTCTAAATCTTCTATAAACTGGACGGCATCACTTGAAGGGGACCTATAGATATTTGTGAAAACATATTTACGGTTTCTTATTCGAATAACTATTTTTAAAGCTTTTAAGTTGCCAATATTTTTTATTGAATATTGACTATTTAAATTTTTTTTAATAAAAACAAGCACTCCGTCGCTTTTGTTTAGGAAACTATTATTATGTGTCACTTCATAGCCTTCCAGATTGAACAAAGACTTATCCAGTACTTCCCACGATTCAGATAATACAATGATATCAAATGCTCCATTAAATTGTTCCAAAAAAATTGAAAACTCGTCGAAATTTTTTACTGCGCTTCGAATATTCATATGTATTAATTTTAGTCTATTTGTCATTTCTAGAAAGATCTGAGCGTCGTTCACATCACTCAAGAACAAATTTTTAACTTCATCTATTTCAAAATTTTGTATATAGGGATTCATTGTATGTGTGTGTGTTTTCTAATAGTCGTTGTACAATTTAGTGCAGAAACTTAAACCTAATATATTATGATAACAAACTTATAGGATACAATAGGCACAGCCTATTTTTCGTTCAAAATTATGATGACAATTTTAAATATTTATGTATGCATATAAATTGATAATACCCCATTAGAATAAGTATATATATATATATATATATATATATATATATATATATATATATATACCGGGTGTCTACGAGATCAGTTTCGAGCTGGCATTTGGTGAGTTTTTTTTCGATGGCAAAGATTTTTGGTATGGAGTGTAGGTTTGAGTAATGTCATCTTTTGACATGTGTGTCAATGTTTGGTAACTTCCGGTTTGACCGGAAATGGTCCTAACTCCGTAATTTGGAATGGCATCCCAATAATTTTTTCACATTTTTGGCATCTGCGGATCATGATGTGTACGAAAACGTCAAATTTGAACATTTTTGAAGAGATTTCAAAACTCTGGATGAAAATGTATTTTTGAACAGGAAGTGACGGAGCGGTCTTAAAATTGTTATTTTCAACCAACACAATCGTGGAAAAATGCGAATACCAAGTTATTATCCTATGCTTGTTCTCCAAAGGCTTCCAAAGCTGAAAAAATCACATTTTACGTGATAACTCAATGAAATCAGTGAAATCACCCAACTTTCATAACAAATGTTTTCTACCTTTTTCAAAATAAAACCAACTATGCATTAAAGCTTTTTATTCATGCCAGTTTTTAATTATTTTTCCAATATTTTTACTATGCATTACTATAACTGATAAAACTACTTATAAATAAACCCCTGTATTCAAACTTTGTATTTACAAGTTCCCGAGATGTCAAACAATGACAAATAAACATATCTTGCCTCTTGCCCACAGATCTTGTCAATGGCTTGTCAAGAAAAAAAAACACCAGCTCCTTTTGAAAAGCGTTCTTCATACAGGGGTTCATTTATAAGTAGTTTTAACGTTTATAGTAGTGCATTATAAAAATAATACGAAAATAATTAAAAACTAACATAAATGAAAAGTTTCAATGCATAGTTGGTTTTATTTTGAAAAAGGTAAAAAACTCTTGTTGTGAAAGTTGGGTAATTTCACTGATTTTATTGAGTTATCACGCAAAATGTGATTTTTTCAACTTTGGATGCCTTTGGAGAGCAAGCAAAGGATAACATCTTGGCACTCGCATTTTTTTACGATTGTGTGGGTTGAAAATAACAATTTTAGGACCGGTTCGTCACTTTCTGTTCAAAAATAAATTTTCATCCAGAGTTCTAAAATTTCTTCAAAAATGTTCAAATTTGACGTTTTCGTACACATCATGATCCGTAGATACCAAAAGTGCGAAAAAATTATTGGGATGCTATTCAAAATTACGGAGTTAGGACCATTTCCGGTCAAACCGGAAGTTACCAAACATTGACACACATGTCAAAAAATGACATTTCTCAAACCTACACTCCATACCAAAAATCTTTGCCATCGAGAAAAAAACCAGCAAATGCCAGTGCGAAACTGATCTCGTAGACACCTTGTATATATTTTTTTTTTAAATCATAATATAAATAATAACTATAAAAACTAATCATAAATCTAACCTAATGTATATTTAATTAAATAAAAGCAAAGTGATTACCTATTTTTTTATTTTTTTTTCTTTTTGCCTGGTATTTCTGTACTGGAAGCTCTTGGGACTTGGAGAAGATGCGTGTCTTCGCTTAACACTGCTCTTATCTTTCTTTTTTTCTTCTTCGGATGTCTTTGATTTCACAGGTTTATGTTTCTTCGTATCACTGTCGATTGTATCACAATCACTTTCTTCTTCCTCAGTATCCCTTTCATCTTCATATTCGGTATCTTCATCAAAATCTCTTGCCGTGTATAGTCTACCCTCGATTTCCAGTTTATATCCTCTTAATTTGGCGGTTTTATTCTGTTCTAAAGCTTGTTTAAGATGTTTCCTTAGAATGCTTGCATCATTCCTATCTTCTTCACATAAGTCATTTGATATTGATATGCCCAACTTGTTCAAGTTTTTTAACTTCTCTTTATCTTGGATAATTTCAAGCTTTCTGTAGAAGGATATAAACTCGATGATTATGGGAGCATTTGTTGTTTTGCCCAAGGTGTATACATTGTTTATAAGTGTTGGTTTAATATGTTTAACACTTGTTCTGGAAATTGCTTTTCATCTTTGTCAACGATCCCAAATATTATAACATTATTCTTTCTTAATTTTCTCTCAAGAAATTTACAGCGGCTTTCAATTTTAACCACCTTTTTATTTGTTATAGCTAAAAGTGTATTTACACTTCTAATGCTTGTATTTATGTCTTGCTTAAGGACTTCTGTTTGCTTTTTATTAGCCGCATCCAATAATTTTCCAATTTGCTCTATGGTAATTTCAGACATTTATGAATTTATTTTTTACGGGCTGCTGTGAATCTTGAATCTAAAGCAACATGCATAAACAATTAGGCAGGTACTCGTTTATTTCTTGTTGTTTATTGCAGAAAAAAAAGTTGAAGGCTATTGATCAGTACCAGTATAAAAATACACCAAACCAATTTAGCTTTTATGCGTACCATAAATAAAGACTTCGATTTTAAAGTGCGTTATAGTGTAACTTAGAAAATGAAAACTTACATAATTTTCATGTGACACTGTATATTTCCGTTCACTGATGGGTTCGTGTCACTTTTACACACTTTTTAACTGGTATAAAATGCTTTTTGAAAGCCTTTTTATCAGAGCGACAAAACTACGTGCGTCGACCTCGGTAGTCATATGATAATTATATTTAATATTTTAATTTGAACTGAAGTAATTTGAACAAACTCCAATTTTATTATTAAAATACAAATAAAAGTGAATTTTCCATCCTCTAGGATCGATTGTTTTGTGAAAAAAAAAAGTTCCATGAAATCTTGCAATAAACAAAAAGTTTTCTCTTATCAGATTCCCATTATAGATAACCGGTAAACAAGAAAACTTTTCAATCCCTCGAGTCCAAAGTTTTATTTAAAACCACCAGACAGAATGAATAGTGAATTTACGATGACTACCTACAAGATTTAAGATAGTTATTTATCAGATCGACGTCCGTGAGTTAAGAAGCTCTCAGGTTAGTAATTTTGTTGAAGTGAGTTAACGACTATTCATTTTTTCTGTTGGTTACTCTCGATTATCTCTCCGCTTCTTTTTCGCTCACTTAACAAATGGCTCTGGACGCCCTCCATATCTAGAGAAATATTCTTCGAATTGCTCATGTTGGGATGGCGAAATTGGCCATAAAATAAAGTCGTCAAGATTGTCCACCTTCATAACACACTCAATGTTTTCTACTCTCATTTTTCCATAAATACATTGTATCAAAGTTTATTCTTTAACCTCAGCCTGTTTCAAGTATTGATGGATCTTATTTATATCATCATTCATGCTTTTCGTCAATTTTGAAATTAGGTTTTTAAAGAAAATAAATCTATTTGAAAGTATGTA